ATGGTTATCTTCTTTCTGCAACAGAGGAAAGAGGATAACCATTCCCCATATATATATATATACACATATATATATACACACACACTTAGTAATATAGTAACTAAGTAATATATATATACTTACAAGTTATATAACAATTAAATGTGCATTGGCTGAATCACATTATCTCTGAATTCCTGCAGAAAAGAGTGGCTTACAGCTTTCTCAGCGTAGCAAGAAGCTGAGGTCACACCACAAGTGAAAAGATGGATCCTCCACTCACTCACAGTACCCAGTTTACTAATATACATACCCATGATCCCAAATAGACAGGTAGAAAAGGCTCTTTCCTCTGTTGCAGAAAGAAGATAACCATTAATGCAAACACATAGGGTGACAAACCTCCTTCCTCAGGACGATCGACACAGCACAGCTGTAAAATAAATTGCGCAGTAATTGCAGCTTCAAGAGAAACAGTAAAAAATATTGCTTTCCTTCCAATTAAAAAAAATAAATAAATCTGTCACTGTATATAGTGAGAAAAATTCAGGTATCTTTGAGCTCCTCTTGTGAGATTGATTCTGTTATCGAGATCAGTTAAGAGTCCTGCTGCAAAAATACCACAGAATCCGAGTACACAGAATGGCAAAACAGACAGCATAGTGCAGATTTTCAAAATCATTTTACATAGATGTAACCAAAGTTAAAATGCTTTTCTATGTTCTTCATAAGATTGTATTTTAACTGCATGCACACAAAGTCTTTGAACAAGTTTGTTATTATTTTAATTCAAAAGAAAGTTTTATCTACGTAAGATAGAAAAATTTTATTTCCAGTCATTTTCACAATGTATTAAGTTTATGCTAACTGCACTACACAGACATCTTTCTGATTTGTTTGGTAATACGAAAGAACAGAACATTTAGAGCTTTGCATGACCATCATGGAATCAATCTGAAAATTCCACTTCTAAAATTTAATGGAACGTGGTAAGGCAACAAATCATAGAATCATAGAATGGCTTGGGTTGGAAGAGACCTCAAAGATCGTCAAGCTCCAACCTCTCTGACACAGGCAGGGCCACCAACCTCCATGTCTAATTTAGGCAGTTTGTAATTTAAACAAAAATCATACCCTTTTTCCAGTACTCTCTCTAAAATAGTTTAAGCAATGGTTTTCTAAATCATACAGTCTTACCAGTATAGTACTAATATTCATTAGATATCTTCACAGATGAAGGAATAAAAATAACTCTTACCTTTGCCCAGTACCTGAAGGCAATCACTAAAGATGCAACAGTAGGCTCCAGTTTTCCAATGGTAGCCAAATGGTTTGTTGTCAGATAAGCATTTTCATTCCCTGCACTTACTTTACAAATAAGGCCACTAAAAACCAAAGAGAAACAAAATAAAAGACCTTGGAGGCCTTGTAAGAAGAGAGAGAGATCAGACTACATCTCACAAAACAATCTAGAAGGCAGCTGTGAGGGAAGGCTGAACAGCTCTTCCAAGACAGCATATCTATATTAAAAGAAGCATGAAAATCAACTTGATATATGATAAGATTGAAAACGAATGCACTATACACAGTCTGCTCTGGAAGTAATGTCTTCTATTTATTTCAATGGAAACTACAACAGATGCAAAGACCACAATAAGACTATTTGACAAAGCAAATTCTCAGTTACAAAATACTACTTCTTAACATAATCACCACCATCAGCTATACATTTCCATCAGTAAGACTCAGGAGTCTGAGCTTGCAAAAGTCTGAACCAGCAGAGGTGACATGTGTGCATAGCTGTCCAGAACGTGGTCTGTCCTGCGCATTGCTGTCATCACTGCTGAAATGCACTGCCTGTTGCCTCACTGGGCTCATGTCCATTGTTAGATCTCCATAAAAGTTCAGCAAGCATTGAAGAGTGTCAAGGGGGTGCCATTTTTTCCACATCAGGGAATTCAGTTCTGCACCTTTACTTCAAATGCACTTCCATGCCATTTGGTCAGACTGTTCCTCTGCTGCCATCTGTTGCACAGCAACAAAATGCAACAAACTATTGCTGGGAAAGTTCAACCGCTACTGCCATGCCATCAACATCTGCATCTGACTTTGCAGGCCAACAAAATAAACAGGAGACATTACTTTTGGAAGCACGCCTCGTAATTTTCTGTACAAGTGTGTTCAAATACATTCCAAATTTAAGTTGTTTCTAATGTGTTCAATTCTAATTATATTAAATCACTGAACTGTAAAACCTCAATTCTGATTTCCTTCATGTATCAATGCCACACCCATTGATTGCAAAATAGTTTCTACGCTGCTTCCACAGAACAAAAAACATTTTCAAACAGTGAAAAAACAAGGTAGCGGCAAATAACTGGTAATATTCCTGTACCAGAAAGTATTTATAGAATGTTTCATGAATCTTAAGTGATTTCCATTAAATGGGCAAAGTAAAATGTCTTTAACTCGTGCATGAAATATTAGTGAGGCTATGCAAGCTGATCTTGCCCTTAGAGAAATCTTCAATTTAATATGGCATCTATGTTATCTATAAGGAAGCAAAGGAAGTTTCTTCTTAAGCAGTTATCCCAAATGGAGGGGTAAAGGCACATGCTGGAAGCCAAAATGGTTGAAAGGACTGGGAAATATGCAGCTGAGGACAGAACAACCCTTACCCTCTTATTCTAGGCTAGGAATGACTTGCCCATGAGTGTTAGTTTGTGTTTCAAGATCCATGGAACTGTAACAATTTAGTAAAGAAACATCACTTTTCAGATGTTGGTACACATAATTTACATTGCTATATACTATTAGAACACAGAAAGTGACAACTGAGACCTTTGCTTTTCTCTGCATACCACCACCGGTATTCTAGTATGGAAATCTGCATCAACTTCAACAAAAGATTCTAGGCGGGAGAAAAGAGAAAAAAGCATATTAAGTATGGTATTGACATAAAATATTTTGAACTGGACACAACTAGAGCAGTTCAGCTGTATTCTGGCAATTTCGTGATTATTTCAAAATTAGTTATTTTATTCATTCATCCAAGGATGCTGAACATTAGATGTGATAAATCAACTCCAACACGCTCTTAATGCAAGTTTTTCACATGTGATAGGAAGAGCATGGTCTATATTCTATGATAAGAATTGTTATTTTAAGAAAATACTTAAGAAAAAATGAACTTTACAAAATTCATAAATACTGTAGACATACTTAAGTAGGGATATTTTGGTTGTGCCAACTTTACTGTAGGCAGATAAAACTTTAGACCAACAACATCCATAAAACAAAGGTATTGTGAAAGATTAAAGACATACAACTTTATCTCAGTACCAGGTGGAAATAAAGTAATTAATTTAAATTTCCCTTGTAATCTAGAAATGCTCTATGTAAGTATTAGAACAGGCTTGCTAACAAGAGGTAATGTCTACCTCCTAGACTTTATTTTCCCCCCTCTTATTCTTTATGTAACTCTTCAAACTTAATTTAGATTCTTTTTTTTTTTTCCATTAACAGCAAGAAGTATGAATACCATAAATACCACTACAGCTCCTCCTCTAATTGGAGCATATTGATACAAACTTGATGTTTCATTAGGTCAGGTGCAGAGAGAACTATGAAAGTGTTAGCTATTCAGTGACTGCAAAACTGAAGTTCTGTTACGCTCTAGCAACTGAGACAACTGATCTCTTTGCTTTTGCCCTGGAAGTACCACAAATACCTAATTCTCTGCCCTTGTTATCTCCAGACTCAAAAAAACTAGTATGTTAAAGAAAATGCTACATTTCAAAACACAGATTCTGAGTTCTTTTGGGATCTGGGTGTCCTTTTCTCACCTCCCATTGAGTAGTAAATACTGCTATCCTCAAAGACTGTAACAGTCATTTGATCAGACAAGATCACATAAGTACAGCAGAGGGGATGAGAGGGACAGATAGAGGAATGGAAGAAGGATGGGAAGAGAAAGCTTAGACCAGAAAGTACATGCAAGTTTAATGTATTTGCCTGAAACTATACAGACTAAATTCCCATCTGTGAACAAAATCCAAGGTAAAATGTAAAAAATTTTCTTTTCAAAATTTGCATTTAAAATAACAGAGGTTATTTCCTATTTATTTATTTATTTTTGTCTGGATATGCTCTAGCTGGCTTGAGTATATTTAAGATGTAAAATGTCATTTAGGAAAGTGATATTATATGACCACATATTAGTACACACAGTCATATTCACTGCTTGAAAAATGTGTCTGTATGCAGTCAATAGTACATTAGCTCACTGCATTAACAGACAAGTGCATACAATTACAAGAAAACAGATCACAATCACAGAATCAAAGCAGTCTGATCAAGTTAGAAATGTTCAATCTACTTCAGGTACTATACATGGTTCATACTGCAGTTAGGGAAAGAAATGCACCACCTGCCTTCTTCACTTGTGATGTGGAAGAAAACATCCCATTAGGAATTCCTCATATCATCAGAAATAACTCCAGAAGTCATAAAAAGTCATAAAACTAACTATAAAAGCAAGAGTAATTTCTGCCTCTACCAGTGGCAGAAATTTTCTGCATTATTTTCTGCAATAATTTTCAGGTTCAAATTAATTAAAAAACCCTCATAATCATTTGTTTTACATATTCAACAGAAGTGGAACTGATTAGCAGTAACTGTTAATGGAACTGAATAGGAAGCAACTTACCACTGTTCTGTAGACATTCTTGAACAAGTAAGAGAACATCTGGCTGAGTCATCTGTGAATAAAAATAATAAAGTTGTTTTTGTTGCAGTGAAAAAGCTGATTTCCCACATCACTATTTATTTATTTATTTATTTATTTATTTATTTATTTATTTTTAAACAATGCCTCTAGGTCAATTCTGTTTTCCTTCCAAGACAGCAAAAGGCAAACAGAGCAAGGTTCTCTCAGGAGCAACATGGATGGAAAATATCGTGGAGTAACTGTAAGTTCATTTTTTATCTCCATCAAATTGAAACACTAAAAAACACTTTTTCAGTGAGTTTGATCAGCTTGCTTTCTGAAAGCAGTGGACCTGTCATGTGTCAAAGATTGGAATACAGCTTTTAATATAAACATTTTAAGAATATAGATCATTCTTCTCTCCATTACACTTCAGCATTCATCAGAGAAAACGTCTGATTTTAGCTATGAGAATGTCAAACCAGGAATAATTGTAAGTGTGGAAAAAGAAACTTTTCACAGTCTTAAATTTCTTTTCAATGTCTCAAGCACAACGTAAAAGAAAAACAAAACAAACAAACAAAAAGCCTACTAGCATGACAAATCAATACTTTAATTCGCATAGAAGATGATTTAATGACTCAAAAATGACACAGCAATCAGAAACTGAAGCACAGATGAGTACAAGAAGAAGACCATGGAAATGCCGTTTGTTCCATCGATAATACAAGACAAATAAGTTGATCTGCCCCATACAACTGCTAGGAGTCCAGATGCTTTAGGTATTTTCAGTTTTTTAGAACAAGATTCAATGAAGTATGAAGTCATGTTATATTACAACAGTATTAGTGTGATAGCTCTGTACTACCCAATGCATTTTCATTTTGAAAATGCTATTACCACTTCATGAGTTATATTTAAATTATACACAAAGGTGTAAACCACTGTGACATATTTAATAAAATGGTCTTACTTACGCTGGCAGGAAACTGGATGTCTATGTTTATGTCTGAAGTTTTGAAACCAAATCTGCTAAAGGAAGATCCATACAACCTTAAGGAGCACTCTGCAACAAAAAGAATGCTCCATTTATTTTATTTTACTGACCTAAGTCTGTAGCTACTTTACAACACTGGCAGTGCATCTTACAGCTACCGCTACATTTGATGACCACAAAAGCTCAGGACGGATCTTCCAAAAGCATAATGTTCACTTAGTAAATCCTACCTTCCATTGTTTGAACAGTAAAAGCTTACAATGAAGGTAATATACTCCCCACATCCTGTTCATCTCTACTTTTCAGTCCAGGTCTATTTAGGTTATTACAATGAGCAACACTGTAATTTAATTCTGATATTGCCACATCTTATTGTTTAAAGAGACTAGTAACTAAATACAGTATTTTAGTATTCAGCTAGCCAAGTTTTTAAATGAGTTTCCACCTCTGTGAACTTACAAAAATTAACATATCTAGCAATTAGAAGAAACTGCAAATAATACCTGGCAATTTTTGATGCAGTAAGTCTTCCATTATTGTTCCAATCTTGAGCCTTTCTTGTAAATCTGCATTACTTAAGCCGAACTCTTGTACTACATTTTCAATGGCAACATCAATGGCTTTAATCTGTGAAGGTGTTGGAGGAGGCAGGGCATTCAATAGCTGTTCCTCTTGCTTTTCCTTTAAAAGATAAGAAAACCAATGATTCTGTTCAATTGCTTAATGTTCTAGAATGAATGAATGCAACTTATCTCAATTACCATAACCACAGTTGATCAAGACCATGAAGGTAACTGGAAAAAGAACAAGAGAGAAACTGCAATAGGTATAAAATATATATACCAAGAAGATTCAATAACCTGCAGGGGTACATACATGTGTACATTTACTTGGGTATATGCATCTGGAATGTAAGAAAAGTCATCAACTCTTTCATCAGCAGTGTGTGTGTTTAAGTACACATGTATCTGGAATGTAAATAAACCACACCAACTCTTCAAAATCTAAGAAATAAGGAAGTCTAGAAGTTAATGAGGAAGAAACAGAAAACATGATCAAGACAATTACTGTCTACTTCAAGCTGGGAAAGCAGAATGAAAGAAAAAAAAAAAGAGAGTAACACTGAGGTCATGCTAGAAGTTACTTTGAGGTTTGTTCTGAACATGATCAAACTAATTCATGATCATCTAAATAGGCCTGCAATACTCCACAGGCAATTAATTTCATTTACAGTATTCTGAATGGCAATCTTCATCCAGACATACAGCTTATGATTTTTGTTTATTATTACACCTCACTGTTTTGAACTTTATCAAAACACTTCATTGATGAGATATACCAAATATACACCAAAAGGAATGCATGTAACCAGTCTATTAGAAGAATTATAGAACAACAGAAGAGTTGAAACAGGGTTTTTTTGTTATACTTGATCTCCAGATCAAATACTATTCCATGACAAATTAAATAAGGACTTCCTTTAACGATGGACATTAAAAAGTATAAATTACATTTCAAAAGTGAGAGAGGAAGTAAAGTCCAGGTATTAAGTTTACTCTTTTTATGAGCCTTAATACGTAATACATTTTCAAGGAGCTTCAAATATAGTAATAAATAAGAAGATTATTTTAGATACAGCGCAGTTTCACAGTTAATAGCAGCTGAAGACAGCTTCAAAAGCCTGCATTTTACACTTCCTCTACTGTCCTTAACTCACCTTTATGCTTTTCTTGTGTCTTTTCTCCTTAATATGCTTATGAGCAAAAGTCACAGATTCAATCAAAACATCACATAATTTGCAGGCATATTTTGCTGATGGGTAGCTTCGAGGTTGCTAAAATAAAGACAGAAAGAAACCACACCATAAAATAAAGAATAATGCTAACTTAATTTTGTTCAATACCCTTGCTAACAGGAAGACTCTAACACTGAAATCCAGGAATGCTCATTCTATCTTTCCCAACTCTATCTTTACAATTAAAAAGTTCAAACACCAAACAATGCCAGAAGAGTGCTGCTGGGAAATTAAGTCCAGTACCTTGTTGTTCAGTACCCCAAAACCATGGTAGAATATATTAACTGAATGTACAATTACATTTTTCTGATCTGCTGGCCCAACCTTTAGTGAACCCACGTTAATTGGAGAGCAGATGGATCAGTCTTTTTTGCAATTATCTTGCTGCCACATTGAGACTTAATATAATAGAAAAGGATAACTTCCTTCTCTTTACAATTCATCTACTCTGTCGTTACATCGATAATGACCTTCTAGCTATAGCCAGAGATATTGCTCAATACGCATCTCTACATTTTATTCAAAGATTAAAAATATAGGAGATAAATAAAAGACTGGCACCTTCTTCAGTCTATAAATGAAGTCTCGCTTCAATCGTTCTTCAGCTTGCTGTAAACCTAGAAGCTCTTTTGCTGAAAGCACAGATTCATCTATGACTGGGCCACCCACTTCATCATCTTGATCATACTCATCTTTTCTACTTCTTCTTGATCGCCTTGTTTTCCTGAGCTTCTTCATTTCTTAGAAAGAATTATGAGAGCAAACACAACAAATAAATTCAAATACCATACAAAATTCTGGATTTCATTTCCTCTTTTAATTTCCATTCTACTTAAACGCAAACCAAAGAATCACCTACTCTGCATGGTATCATAGCCTGTTTTGTTTAAGTGTGATAATAGCAAAAGCGTGCATCTATGACAGAGCCTGGATTATCACTTGTTACAAATGACGATGAAACACTTGTTCGTCTCACTGAAAATAACTGGCATGCTTATTTAGATAACTTCGCTACAGTTGAAAAAAAAGTAAAGATTTAGGTGCCTACTTGAGACATACCAGTATAACGCTATGAAGATACAACATGCCCAAAGTATCAAAGAACTCCAAACACCACTTCTTTTAAGCAATGGCTGTTGTCATTTTGAAGTACGAATTGCTACTAGCCTGAAAAAGATGTGTAAAACTTACCTCAGGAATGAAAACACATAGGCTGGATTTTCATGTAAGACTTTAGATTAATTTTCACTTGAATGGTTACATAAGATGTCCAGGTGCACAGAGTTTCAACATTTCCCTGCTCCTGACAAAGTTTATGTAACTTTCTTAGACTCCAAAACTCTTGTCATACCATGAAGTTTATTTGTAATAGTCAGAAAAAAAAAAAAAAAAAAAAAAGATATCTCCTTTACCCAATGTATTTGTAAGGTTTTGTCCCTGCTATTACAAATTTTGTCTCTAAAAACTGGCAAAGCAAAACAAGCTAGTTGTGAATTTTCAACCAGTTGTCTGATTTCATTCACTGAACAATATGTTTGTGCTGGTGTTGTAAGCAGGAAAAGAACAAGAATGGTAACACAACCCCCTCAGCAGCAGAGCAGCACAAGCATATGTTGCAATAAACAGAACTAAGTCTTAGTAGGGATTCCTCTTTCTCCAAAGGACATTCCAAAGAACAGAAACAGAAGTCATAGCCTTGTCTTCACATATCCTTTCCATTTTCTGTACTGGCTCTCCTGCTGAGAATCCTAAGACCCGCAACAGCTGTTTGATCACATTTTTTTTCTGATGAATGCTGGTGTGACTTGGAGAAAAATGTCTCTGAAGGAAAGCATGTGAAAAGCACCTAATTATCATTTACCTTTGTAAGTATTAAGTAAGTTCAGAAAAAGCTGCAAAATAAATTAATACTTCTAGTATTATTTATTAGTTGAAGTAGTGACAATCTAACTATAGGCTAACAAGTAAACAAGTACTAAAGGCGTGTTCAAGTTAAAGATTATGCAGAAAAATCAGCACCTCGGATTTGGTAAACTCTGTGTGAGCTAAAGGAAAAAGGCACGAAGCTAAGAGGAAGAGACAACTGCACAGAAGATGTCAAATAAGAGGAAACATCAAAAAATGCATTAATAATAACTGTTTGCTATCTGACAGTTTATGCAGGGACCTCAAGAGGTGAGCTACACCATGTCTCTCCTTCACAGCAGGATGAGCTCTGTCAATGCTGGGTGATGCTCATCCAACCTTATTCTCAAAGGCATTTGCACAGACTGTGTGAGTTGCCAAGACAACATCCCAAGTACTTCACAGTGTTACACAGAGAAACTTCCCCTCTATTCTTCATCTGAATCCTTCCTGCTGAATTTCAGGCCTGCTCCTTTTTGTTTCTACTGTTGGAAAGATTCAAACAAGATTACCATAATATTTTCAATAACTGTCTGTATCGCTGAAAGTTATTATCATGGCTGCTCCCCACTAGCCTACAGAAGAAAGGTTTACCCTGTGTTAGTTGATGTTTTTTAGGTGCCCTGGCATTCTTGTTGTTTTGGACTGTTCCTGCTTTATTTATTCAAGAAAGCTGTTGAAGCTAGACACAACACTACAGCTAAGTTTGCCAAAAATATACAAGAAAAAGCGTACTTCAGGCTACAATTTTGAGTTCCTACACCTCACAGTACCTTGATGCTGACTACTCATTTTCATCTTCCTATTCATTATGATCCCAGATACTTCTCTGAAGAAATGCTACTTAATAGCTCTTTCTTCTTCATTTGTGCACCCCAACTTAAATAATAGATTTCACATGTGTTCATTTAGTATCTCAACCTGTACCTAGGTCAATTCTTCAATTTTGCTAAATAATTTCTATTCTTCTTCCTGCATTTAGCTCCTACCAGCTCTGCAGCTCATTTATACTAATAAGAACACTGTCTACATTCATAATCAGAATAGTGTAGTAATGCTTCAACAGAGTAGAGCTCTTGCAGAAGTTTGGTCAATGCTTACTATCACTTTAAGAAGATCACTGGTACTTTTCGTAGCTCTACAACTTTGCTGTATTAATTTCAACCAGAGAATTTTCCTATAGTTTACTTATTCTGGGACTGTCACCCAAGCATTGAGAATACTACTAACAGTATTTAACCTTTCTCCCATGTCATCATTTTATTAAGAAATAAATTACATACTTTATACTTTCTTCTAGGCAAATCCACATTTACCGCTACTTGTCTCTTTGCTATCTGGCAGATAACCACAGTAGGTTACATTATTTGTTCCAGAATGGATTTCCAAAATTAAAGTTGCATATCCTTTTAGATACAGTTTTAAAGAGAGGCTTGCCTTTTCCTGCATGCCACTAACTCAATTCCCCTGTGTAAATTTTGCTCTGTTCTTTCCTTCTGAGACTGAGCTTTGCTTTGCAATTTATTTCTAACAATGGGAGACACTGGACACCTGCTCAGAGTTCATCCTCTTACAACTGATGTCAAGAAAAAAGACAGTAGAGTCTCTTTTATAGTAGAGTAGACTTTTATACATCAACTAGCAAGACCTTCCCAGGAGAGGAGCAGAACAGACCATAATCTCAAACAGAATAAGAGACCTCTTGATAACAGTTAGCTGATCCCTGCCCTCTTAGCAGCACTTCAGCCAGGTCGCAATCTCTCTTATTTTACCTAACTATAAACATATAAAAAAATGTTGGTTTTTTTGTTTTTTTTTTTTTTTTAAAGATTTTTTTTTTAAGAATAGGATGAGAGGTAATGGCCTTAAGTTGTACCAGTGGAGGTTCAGGTTACATATCAGAAAAAATTTCTTCTCAGAAAGAGTGGTGACACATTGGCACAAGTTGCCAAAGTTGCCCATCTCTGAAAGTGCTCAGGAATGTGGTGGGTGGAATGTGGCACAGAAGGACATGGTTAGCAGGCATGGTGGGACGTGGTTAGTGGGCACGGTGATTATGGGTTGATGGTTGGACTAGACAGCCTAAGTGGTCTTTTCCAACCTGAACGATTCTACAATGCTTCTCACTGCTTTAGTCTACTTACACTTTTTTCTCATACTCAGATTCACTGAAGTTCTGATTATACTTACGACTTTATGGGAAATACATTATTTGTTCTTACTGCACTACTTACTTGTGAGCATTAAGTTCTCACAACATCTCTGACACATTGTTTTCAGTCTTCATTAATATGCACTTTTATGGACTTCAATGGCAACTCTAGAATTTTATCCTGTAGCAACCTAAATTAATTATCTCTATCTATTAACAGATTCAATCAAACCATACCTGGAAAACTGCAAACAGGGATAACATACAGTTGTTGTAATTTCTGTACCATGTAAAACCTAACACAATTTATAAAACAAGTTCTATACCACACACTGTACCAACTTGTTTAAAGTGATTCAACATAATAGAGTAAATTTGCATTGTATGACAGAACAAAAACATTTTTTTGATTTAACAGCAATTGTAGAAATTTTACTTTTCATTAACATATACAGAAAGGTACCAAATAGTATGTATAATAACAAACATCTTGATTACCAGAGCTTCCTCTCTGCAAGTCTGACACGTCTTCATCTGCTAAGTCTTTCTGAAGTTGTCGTCTTACATTTCTGTTTCCTGCACCTTCAACTTCGTGAAAAGAGTCCTTTCTTGTTCTGTTATGCGTGGGAATCCAGATTCCAGATCTGTAGTCTCTCCGGTTTTCAGAATTACCACGGTGGTCATCAGATATCCACTTCTTTATTTGGTCTTTTTGAGTGTCACTCAACTTTGACCCTGGACTGGGAGTTATATTTTTAAGAGAATTTGGGCTACTGAAAACAGTACGTGGTCCTCGTCTGGGACTACCTCCATAATGACCTGGTGTTCCCTTCTTCTTCTGCAGGCTGGTATCTATTTTATTGCTATGGCCATTTCCATATTCATCTGTTACTTGGTAGTCTTTCCGTGAGAGACCTCCTTTGAACTCTTCTTCAAATATTATCTCCGGTTCCTTACTTTGTTTGGTAATGTAAGGCTTCGCAGTGTCTGCCATAGTTATTGCTATTTGATTCTGTGGTTCACACCTAGAAAATAAAAGTTAAAAGGACTATTTTAAAAATAATCAACCAATAAATACAGACGTACTGGTTACTGAAATCTCAAAAATAAAAGCCGTGGCTCTGTAATACCGTAAAGACAGGAACATCTTGGTGAAAATGAAATTTTACTTCAATCAAATAAAATTCAAAATTAATATAAGCTTCTCCTCTTGAAATGTCTAAAGCTGATTCACAAAATGCAGTGATAGCCCATGGCCTTTTTTTTTTTTTTTTTTTTTTTTTTCTTTCCCTCAGTATACTCAGCTCAGTACAGAACTTTTAAAGAGTCACAGAACAAACTCTGGTACACACAGAGTATTTAGGCAGCAGTAAAGGCAATGCTCCAAAGTGATGGAACAAGAGGGAATGATTTTAAACTCAAGGACGGAACATTTAGATTGGATGTCAAGCAATGTTCTTTAAGGAGAGAGTGCTGAGGTGCTGGAACAGGATGCCCAGATAGGCCGTAAGTGCCCTGTCCCTGGAGGTGTTCAAGACCAGGCTGGATGGGGCCTTGGACAGCCTGGTCTAATATAAGATATGCAGGTTTGTGGCCCTACCTGTGACACAGGGCTGGAACTTGATGATGTTTGGTGTCCCTTCCATCTCAAGCCATTCTACGATTCTATGAAAATCTAATTAAAATCATCATCCAAATATCATCCCCCACTGTCACCTCTGCAGACACTGTTCACTTTGTTAAGGATTAAAATCGTGATCAGTGTTACAGATGAGCAACAACTGGTCTGAGGCAAACATCACCCAGTGATAAAAAAAAACCTTAGCTGCTAATGGACTTTGTACTTTTTACCTCTTCCAGAACTCAGAGGTTTCATATTATTGGGCAGTAAAAATGCATATTTCATACTACTTCAGTATTGCCTAAAAAACATGGGCTGCCAATATGCAGCCCAGACTTTACCACGTCTGTTTTCTTACCATAAAAAGCTTTCAGAGTACTGTAATTAAGGAGCTAACTTAAACCTGGGAGACTAGGAAAGGAGAGTTATCTGGAAGAGATGTTAAACCAAATAAAGAAAAATCAGTCCGTGCAACTACACCGTATTTTACATGATTGAAATCTAGCCATATACAACCAAACTGGAATTTTTTTCTCTTTCAGAAGAAGATTTATGCGCTTAAGACTGCAGAGAAAGCTACAGAACTACTGAAGCAGTAGATAATTCACTTCTAATGTATTCAGTATGGATATTGGATGCTTGATTTTATAGATATCTATCTACACCTATACACACACTCACATGTGTATGCACATACATTTACATATGTGCATATACATACATATAAAAAAGTTCTGCAGGCTCCAAAGGCACCAGTATATCATATCTCAGTGTCTGCCTCCTACCAGCCTGAAGCTTTCAGTGTGTAACCACCACATAAGCAGAGCTCTGTTCTTACAACAGTGACAGTTCTTGGGTCCCTCTCCGAAGACCTGAACTCCGTCAGTTGCACATTACGGCAGGGGTGCAGTCATTCTAAGTAGGAACCAATAACAATACCGAGTACAAACTGGACTTGCTTCTTATGCTAGGAAAGAAGCTGCCACCAACTCTTATTAAACAGGTCCCTCCGCAGTCACCTCGCGAGCCCATCCCACGCCCACGACAGGTCGGGCAGGACGCTCGGCGTGCCCCGGCCTCACCCCGCAGCTGACACGAGGCAGGGCGCGGCACTCACGTGGCTCCGGACGGCCAGCGGTCAGCAGCAACGCCACCGGTGCAAGGCACCCCCCGCGGGGTCGGGAGGAGCGGACAGTGCCACCAAGTTACCGGCCGGCTGCCGCAGGGAAGGGCGCCGTCAACGCCACGCAGGACACGCGCTGCGAAGCCCGGGACCCTCGTTCGCCCCGCAGCCCCCTCTTCCAGCCCTCCTCGCAGCACGCACACGGCTCCGGCCCGCCTCCTACCTCCCCGCTCGGCCCCTACAGCAACCACCCCGGCGCTGAGCGGAGGAAGAGAGGAAGGGAAGGAAGGAGTAAAGGCCACGGCCCGGGCCGCCGCAGGTGCGGAAACTCGGTCGGGGGAGACGCTCGGCGAGAGGGCGCCCGGGAACCCGGCGGGAGGCCCCTCCCGGCCGCCATTCGCCGAGAGAAGGGCACTCACCAGCCGCCGACACTCCGACCCCTACCGCCTCCCCGCCATTACGTCGCGGCGGAAGCGCTACCGTTCCCTCAACGCCGCCGTCCGCGCGGCTCTTCCGGCAACCCGGCCCCGCCTCCCGCTCGCATGGCGGTGTCTGCTGTGCCAGTGGTTCGCCGTACTGTGCGCCGCCATTAAGTGATCATGGGGTTTCCAACGTAGAATCATACGTAGAATCATAGAATCATAGAATCACAAGGTTGGAAAGGACCTACAAGATCATCCAGTCCAACCGTCCTCCCATTACCACTGCTACCACAAGCACTAAACCATATCTTGCAGCTCATCCAGATGTCTCTTGAACGCTGCCAGGGACGGTGGCTCCACCACCTCCCTGGGCAGCCATTCCAGTGCCTGACCACTCTCTGAGAGAAAAAGTTTCTCCTTATGTTTAATCTAAACCTCCTCTGATACAACTTGCAGTTCTTTCCTCGGGTCCTGTTTGTTGCTTGGGAGAAGAGGCCAAACCCCTCCTCGTCACACCCTCCCTTCCAGAAGTTGTGGAGTGCAATGAGTTCTCTCCTGAGCCTGCTGTTCTCCAGACTAAACAATCCCAGGTCTCTCAGCAGCTCCTCATAAGACTTGTTCTCCAGACTCCTGACCAACTTTGTTGCCCTTCTCTGGACACGTTTCAGGGCCTCAATGTCTTTCTTGTAGCGAGGGGCCCAAAAGTGAACACAGTACTTGAGGTTGCTGAACAGGCTCCTTGCTGCAAATGTGCAGTGTATCAGCCAGCCTCTGCAAAGGCAGTCCAGCTAACATGAGAAGATTTTTGTGGTACTTTAGTCATTATCCTTGTAACAAAAGAGTAAATACATTGATCTGAACAGTCACAAGAACAGTCACGAGTACAAGTAACTTGGAGAATAGGCACTGAGTGCAATGCTGTTCACACATCGAGGTGGACACATCTCTTCCCACATCTGGATGCAGTATTCCAGGTGTGGCCTCACCAGTGCAGAGCAGAGAGGCAGGATCTCTTAACCTGCTGGCAGCGCTTCTTTTGATGCAGTTGACTTTCTGGGAGAGGGCACATTGCTGGCTCATGTCCAGCTTATCAAACACCATTACCCTTTCACTTTTACCAATCTTTTACCCTTTTACCCATCTTTTACCCACTTTTACCCTTTTACCCATCCACCATTACACTTCCTTTCAGCAGGTTGGGGAGACAAATGACTGTCAGATGAATACAAGAGTGGTAATGATAAAAAGGTGCTGTGCTGTTAGTGGGTGGGAAAGAGAATTAGTAGAGCTTGTTAAGTTCTTGAATATAAAAATAATATAAGTTCTTGAAATTAAAAAAAAAAAAAACTAGAAGACCATATCTCATGAAGACAGGCTAGATATGTGTAAGTCAGACTACTGGCTATTACAGAACCATATTTCGTTTTTAAAGACATCTAATTTGTGGATTACTTCAGCACTGATATTGAATCTGACACAGACTTTTTGTTCCAGCTTAAGCTGGTCATTACATTTCCAGTTTCTCCATAACTACATATACTTAGCTTCATATTGTGCTTTGACCCAGCGGACAGCAAAGCGCCATGCAGATGTTCATTCACAGCCCTTCCTCACATGCTCTTTCTTCTTTCTTTAGGAAAAGAACAACAACAAAAAAAGAATTGTGAGACCTCACAGGTTGAGGTAGGGACAGAGTAGGTAAGAAGGAAAAGAAAACAAAAAGCACCCCCACCCCATCAAAGAGAATACAGTAACAACAAAAAAAGGCCTAATAACTTACGCAGAATACTATTGCTTACCTCTAGTGGGGTGATGCCCAGCCAGTCTCCAAGCAAATACCCCAGCCAATTTTCCCCAGTTTTATGGTTGAACTTGATGTGGTATGGGTATGGAGAACTTTTTCGAGTTTGTGCCAGCAGTCCTGACTGTGTCCCATCCAAGCTGCCTGCACGCCTCCACATGCAGAACAGCATAATAAACTGAAAAGTCCTTGTTTTTTTGTATGCACTGTGTAACAACAACAACTAAAAATAGTGGTGTGTTAATGCCACTATTTTCATCAAAAATCCGAAACACAGAACTTGCTAGCTACTATCTCAGCCAAAACAAGTATTTAGTACATTTTTAAATTAGCATTTTTTGTTGTGAAGCATACTATTTTCTACTAGGGAAGTTTTCCCCAGAAAGAAAAACAAAAACAAAACAAAACAAAACAAAAAACAAAAAACAAACAAACAAACAAAACAAAAAAAACACCAGAATGACAAAACGACAAACAATCAGGGTTTACTCTGGTTCTGTAAGCTAAATCGAAGTAAGCCAGTGTCAGAAACCCACCATACTGGTACTAAAAGGGATGGAGTTGCCTGGGAGCAGGAGTGGCAGGAAGCAGAGCACGTGTTTTGACTGTCAGCCATCTCTCGGAGCCTCATCACTCATTTGCAGTCTCTCACTTCTAAATTTCACTGCTGAATCACTCCCGGCTTCGAAAGCAGCTAAGAAGTATTGAAAATGTTGCTGCTTGTCCACATGAATGAAAGATGATTGCTTAACTTCCAAATTAGACAGAAACTTGTCAGCTAGATATTTTACAGTGAGGTTTTCCTGAAGACGCTGCAGCTCACTGATGTACTTCTGTGCAGACAACCTGGCTCAGTCAAAGTTTTAGATGCTCACAACTTTTAAGAATTATTTTGTTTTGACAGAGATATTCAAGCATGAATTTATCTGTGGAGAGCAATCTAATGAAAATCCCCAGGTGCTGAAAATAAAGTGGTTTACACGTGGACACAGAGGGTATATACACAGAATTAGCCCTTTATCAGTTAATCGTTTACATCTGGCAGCCTACTATGAAAATGCATGCAAAACTTACCACACTGTAAGCTGCACCTTTAAGTGGAAGGGGAGTGGGACAAAACCCTGAATGTCTTAGAAGCTCAAAACATGCACTGCTGACCGCAAAAAACCATAAATTACAGCTTGATTTGTGTTCAGTAGATGGCAGCAGATTCAAAAGAATTGCTGAAAAGCTGTAACTCAGGTGAACTGTCAGTGAAATCAAGACCTAAAAACATTCTTATGCAGCAAAATAAAAGTGTGAAAACAACACAAATTTAGCTAGCCTGGGAAAGGACAACAGTGGAGGGAAAATGTCAGCACAGGCTTCAGCTTCACCTGGCGAGTCGTAATTTGCCTGCACTTTCAGTCTCATGTTCCTGCTGATATGTCTGCCATTCCCTAGGCTCACTTGATTAAAGTTAGCAAGTCTATGCCTCCCTGTGCCACCTCCAAGTATTTGTTCTCTGTGTCAACAGTGCCTATGGGAGTGTTTTAGAATAGACTGTACTCTTTTGAAGCCTTTCTTATTCTCCCTCACTTTCACTTGAATATTTTCTCTGAAACACAAAGGCTGTAAAAGTGAGGTAAGCAAAATATATTTAGCTAACAGTGTTATTCTAACAAATCACTAGATGACCACTGTACCTTATCTTCTCCTGAGAGTTGTCTCAGTTGGGCTCAGGCATGCAGCATGCTTAGAACTCTTATAAAACTGATAATCTAAAAAATAAAGGGCCTGGGGAAAAATACCATAAATGCAAAGCATCACCCTTTCCATTGATAGAAGTTATTGTTTTTCCAGGGATTCAGATCTTTGTCCTTCACAGTACACAGGTCCTGAAGGTTTGTCAGTACCACTGTCACAGAATCAATGGTCACAGAATGGCTGAGCCTGAAAGGGATTTCTTGAGATCATGTTGAGATCAATGCCCTTCTATCAAGCAGAGTCATCTAAAGCAAGTTACATTGGACTGTCCATCTGGGTTTTTAAGTATCTCCAAAGATGGAGATGCTTCAGCCTCTCTGGGCAACCTGTGCCTGTTTGACCATCTTCACATTAATAGACTGTTTTCTCATGCTCCCTTGGAATCCAGTACGTTCTAGTTTGTGCCCACTACTTCTTGTTCAATCAGCAAGAACTACTGAGAAGAGTCTGCCTCCCTCTTCTTAGGTTCTCTCATCATGTATTTATACACACTGTAACACTCTTTTTTGCAGCAGAACAGGCACAGCTCTCTCAGCCTCTCCATGTATGAAAAATACTACAATCTCCATATCATATTTATGCCCCTCTGTCAGAGTTGCTTCAATATGTCCGTGTTTCTCTTGTGCTGGGAAGCTGAGAGCAGGCCCAGCTCTTCAGATGTGTCTCACCAGTGCTGAGCAGAGGTGAAGGATCACCTCCCTCAACGTGGGGTGTTAGTGCTATTAGCTGTTGGCCTTCTTTGCCTGGAGTGCACGCTGCAGGTTCATTGTCAATTTGGCATCCACTAGTACACTCTGGATGTTCTTGGTAGAATTACTTTTTCAGCCCTTTCATCTCCAGGAACATACTGATGCATGGTGTTGTTCTTCCCCAGATGCAAAACAACTCAATTATTTGTAGACCAATTCAATTCATTAAATTTCATGAGATTCCTCTGAGACCATTTCTCTAGCTCAGATGATAGCACAGCATGACAAAATGAAGTCTCTCTTCATAGTTCTGTATTTTCTGCAGGCTTGGTGAGGATGCACCCCATACCAGTGTTCAGATTGTTTGTGAAAATGGTAAGTATATTTAGTCCCAGTATCGACTCTTAGGGCACACTACTAGAGACTGGCCTCCAACTGGGATTTGTGCCCTTTGTTACAATCCATGAGCTGGGTAAGAGACAGCTATACAGGGAGATCCTTCTAGCAGAAGTTTGCACAGTGCAGTGTAAATGGCAAAATGATTTGCTTGGTGGTACAGCCTGTAGTCATTCTCAACCTGAAATACATGATACTGGCCAGAGGATTTGTCAGTCTGCAGAACTATCTACAATTAGGTTTTTTGTGGCATAAGGACCAAAGGTGTGAGTTTTCCAC